GATGACTTTGCAGCAGCAGAAAGTGGATTATTTCTGTTCAAGATATTAATGTGTGTGTTCAGGAAATCTATTTAAAAATAATTATACATACATTACTCGGGGAAGAAAGGTTCAATAATTTATATACTTCTTTGCAATCAATACTAGCCGTTAATGCATGTTGTAAAGATAACTCACATCTATATACCTTCTGAATGCTATTTTGCTGGTGTGTTAAATGTTGCATTAGTGACAAATGAAATTAATTGCACGTTGACATTTAGGAAAATAAACTCTCATTTTCGTTTCTTCACGTGCAATAACATATCAGAAGCAAAGTTCCATGAAAAATGTTGATCTTGAAAAATATAAGAAGAGAAGGAAGAAGAGGAAAAACAAAAAGAAGAAAGACAAGAGCAAGGACAAGAAGAAAATGAACAATAACAACAAGAACAACAACAATAATAAGAACATTAAAGGCCCACTGCACTACTTGTAGCTACTTGCGCCCTCTATATAACAAACCATGCCTAATCGGTGACCATTGGTCCCCCATGATCCTCTTTTTCTTAAGTTAACTGAGAGCTGAGTTGATGAGATAACCACCTGTCCAGTGACCTTGCAGGGCAGTATAATTCCTCCTGTAAACTACGGCAGATAAGCTTTAAAGACCGTCACCACTACTGGGCAAGAAGGGATTAGACCACACAGCGAGCCATCGAGGTCACTGTGACAGGTGGCTATCTCATTAACTCAGCTCTCATTTAACATAAGAAAAAGAGGATCACGGGGGACCAACAGGCACCGATTGGGGAAGTTTTCTATATAGAGGGAGAAAGTAGCTACAAGTAGGACAGTGTGCCTTTAAGAACAAACATAAAACATAACAAGAACAAAAAACGAGAGCAAGAACAAGTAGAACAACTTGAATGGATTTTGTATATTATATTATCATCGTTATAATCGCCATCATCATCATAATCAATTCCCAGCTTTCCAATCAGCAACGGAATAATAATAACGATACGGGAATTACAATAAAGGCGTTCCAAACCCCCTTGCGACACCTTATGCCAATCCTGCTAATGCTTATGATTTCGCGAAGGACAAGAAGAAAAAGAAAAAGAAAAAGAATATAAAGCACAATAATAAGAACAAAAAGGACAAGAAGATCAAAAACAAAAACAAGCACAAGCACAAGACCAAAAAACGTGAACAAGAACAAGAAGAACAAGAAGAATTGATTTTGTATATTATATTGCTACCATTATCATCATAATCACCACCTAGTTTTCCAATGAGCAAAGGAATAATAATAACGATACAGGAATTACAATAAAGGCGTGAAGTATTCCAAACCCCCTTGCGACACATTATGCCAATCCTGCTAATGCTTATGATTTCGCACAATCCTATTGGTGTGTCACTGGATGGCATGGTATAATGTTAGATCAACAGTATCCCTGGGTGATGATATCAATGTTTAAAGGCCTCGGCAGTGATGGCAAAGATGCATATGATGAAGCTGTATCCTAACTGGGCGACGTAAAATTGACATTAGTGTCATTCTCAATATTTATATTATTATCATCATCATCGTTTTGATTCAATTCCACGTTCTCATGTCTTCAACGTCTTCATTTCAGTGGATGTTTACGTAAGCCCAGATATCTCGCTGGTTGCTCTATAAGTTTAGCCCAAGAGTTTCTTCTATATTTGAATGGAATAAGCTTCATAATTTCATGAGAACGACTCCTCTGTCAATTCATTTAAGAGATTGTTTAAACAAAGTTTTAATTTGTGAATAGCTCAGTAGAACATACACTACGCGCATGTGTTGTAATATTAACGTGATTCATTGACATAATTGCGACTTAATCAATATTTTCCTATTGGCATTACAGTCGAACTAGGTAAATGATTATATAATTATTTTGTAAACGAGTATTCGTTTGTGCCACGTCTATTATAACTGTGTTATGTGTTTCTAAATGTACTATGGAATTTCATTTTAACTGTTCTGTATAAACGTTAAGCTTTTTTATATAAATACGTTCATGTTTATTCAGGGCCCCATGAAAGACCACGACTGATTGGTTAATAGTCTATCCTGATAAAAGATTACAAATAAATCAACAAATCAATCAATTCGTCCTTGTTTTCACGAAGTGACGGTAGTGAGGAAAATCGTAACGCAAAGTGAATGCAATTTTTTTTCACTACCGTCACTTCGTGAAAACAGCGACGAATTACTGTCATTAAAATCATCACCATCTATATACAAATGATGAATACCTTCCTACCCGACATGGAAAGAAAAAAATATACAATGTAGTCCGGGTTACGACAAACACGTGAGGTATTCTATCATTACAGCCCATATTGCCAAAGCTGGAAACATACAGAATAGTCTTTTAAAATTCGACATGATATGATGGTCGATTATCATTCTCCCTGGGGAATGTAATCAATTTTTAATGACCTCGATAATGTCAATGATGGCGATGACGAGGCCTATTATAGTACTTCTAAACATTGAGGAGATGAGGATGAATCATTGTATAGTCTGTTTTCAGACTCCAAATCCTAATACAATGTGCATGAGGTAAAATCTTCCAACACAAACTTAGTAATGCGTGACAGTGCTGTAATGTTAAGACTATGATCATTGAATGGTAGAGGGCACTCTATAGGCCGTGTATTATAGCTGTCATTTGACACAGCCAAAGACTGACGGAGTTAGGGTGGGCCAATGCTCAAAGCTTCATGATAATTATGTCTAAGTGTCCAAATAGACCCTGTGCCTGAATCAAGTAACAAACCAGTGTCATATATTTAAACAAAATAGAGAGCCCGAACTTAAAGACTGAGCGATTGGTATTTAGTATCTCAAATTATGATTTCGTTTCTGTTAGTTTTCCAATGCTTCATGCCGATAAAGGGCAAGCGGAAGGGCATGTTGAATGCGCAAAGTGAGCCCCAAAGATGTGCAAGCTTATTTTAGTTCTGAGACGCGTTTTACTTTGCGCCTGTTTTTTGTCCTCGAATTAAAAAACTAAATAGCTTATTTGTTAAGCTTCGATCATTTGTTGTATTTAGATACATAATTAAGACCCAACACATTACAATTCCAATGTAGATATATAATGAGCACATTATCAACATCAAAATATGTCAATTTATCACAAATTGTGGTTGACTGTAAGCAAGGCTATTGTGTATCAACCATCTGCCCGTAGATGCTACGGCGTCGGGCGTCGCTATGACAACAGAAAGGAGTCATCCACAATTTTCTCTGCGATGTTGAGCGATTGTATTGGCCCAACGTCCAATTGTCTATTTGCTTGCCGTTTCGACTTATAATGAGCTCGGGCATAATAATTGTATATTAATGCATTCAAATAACAATGAAATGATTTGTCAATAATTTAATTGTAATGGGTTTATAGTTAATGCGAGTTTCTAGGTATTTCATGAGCATATCTTGATCAATTTATTCCCCATTGATTCATGTTCAAATGTTTACATACAACTGATTGGAAAGTAACTAACACACACAAAAAATCCAATGTAATGTAATTTTGCTGAATATTTTTATATAAAAAGAACACCTTTTTGTCATCCTTCAAAAAATTCTAATGAAATACAAATAATTTGATATTTAAGCGAAATGTGCCTGCCTGTAACTGAACTTAAAAAACACACATCTTGTGCAGTCAAGAGCAGATATTCATCAATTACTCATTGCGTTTCTGGGTTTTTTTCCAATCCGTACAAATATTATCTTCATTCTTTCCATGATCTCTTAGTATAGAGAAACCGTGAATAAAACTGCTATAGAAGTATAGTAAAGATAAAAATGATGCGATGATAACTAATTAGTAATAATAATAGTGATAACAAAAACGGCAACGAAACTTTAAGAATGATGATAATGATAACAGTAATGATCGTTTAATTATATTACTACTGCTAATAAATACTAATACTTATTATTGTATGAGTAATTCACCCGACATCTAAATCATAATAAGATATGTTAATACTATTACCATAAGCATCGTGATTTTTTACCATCATTACCATTATTATAGTTAATTGAATATAACTGTTATTTATCCTTCTACTTCTTATTTTGCATACTTATTATTTGTAGCATTATTATCAGAATTAATGATATGTCTAGTATTACATTGCTTTTCATTTAACATTTTCATTAGGATCTAACATAATCACAGAATCCTAAACAACATCAATAAAAACATCAAGGATAATATGTTTGTTGATGAAAAAAGAAATTTGAGAATACTGCACAATATAAGACAGGCTTTTAATATTCCATTTCATAATTTCTTGAAATTTTCTTATCTATTCCTCTTACAGACTGCCTATTCATCCATCAGTTTCAGAGGTAAAATCTGCCTTTCGGTCCCACACGGTGACTTTCCCGTCGTACAACACACCGATCCTAACGCGACCACTCTCTCCTAAAACCACCTGTTCTTGCACAACACATACAATACGCCTTTCTGTGTGTGCGACTCATCGCAATTGATTGGTGCATTTTTGTGACTCTGACTCAACGTTCATTAATAATCGATTACTTGTCGTTCCCCACCGTACCGGGAAGTCGCGAGCGATCCTGCCTTATTTGCAGAACGAACAGCTGAGACGAGGAGGTTATTGATTTCATTTCGTGTTAAAATTTGAAAGTCACTTTTATTGGATCAAAACAATCATACTGTTAAGCGAGTTATTAAGGCATCACAACCAGTGATTGCCTCGCCAGACATTCATCGTATGCAGTTCCGCTAGCTCCCATCTTTTCAACAAGTGGTCCTTTATACGTAGACTGGATTATTATTTCCTCGCAACTGTTGAAATAGTTGATATCTAACGCAATGTAGGAAACTATATACTATAATATCGACATATCTGTAGCAGATTGATTCTGTATGTAAAATATATTTTGCAAACTTTAACCGACGTGCCTTATTTACGAGTGAGATCTCGTAACAACCATGTGTCAAATACAAACACCGTTGTCGGGGAGGTGGCAGTTCCTTGTTGCATTTCTTGCACTGGTCCTGGCTTTACCTGCATTAGGGGTAGATGTTGGAGGGGGAGTTGTGGAAGTATCGCTGCCTGATGTCACTGAGGAGTTGCCAGAGCCAGAGGGCGTCCTAGGTGGGGACTGCATAAACATCTCATTGAGAAACAACGACTGGAGCTGGGACGGAGACGAGGGTCAACAGCATCAAGGGGAGACGGCGCTCCTGGTCAGAAAACTTCTGCAGAGACTGAACAACGAGACCCAGCGGATCCAGAATGACAACCCCAATCTCAACCTGACGCATTTCATGAGACTTGTTGCAAGTCGGTCATCTTTGATGATACTGAAGATCAAATCCTTTGCAAGAGTCTTTGGCCATGTGAACGCCCTCTACGGATACACCTGCCGGAACGGGAAGCAGCTCCTACGCCATGCCTTGCAGCGCAATATCACAGACGATGAACTGGAAGAGTTTGATGACGAAATATCTGCGGAGATAGATGCTATGGTAGATGATGCTATGGAAGAAGGAGCAGGTGGTGGTGAAGAAGAAAGAAAGGGCGGAGAACCTGGGACTGTAACCGGTGGGAAGCCAAATGAGGCATTGTCCGTTCAACAGAAAAACAGAGCTGCAGTCAGATTGTTCATCAGGAAGGCTGTCATCGGTTTGTTCCTGTCGCCCCGCAAGCTTCGAGGTAAAGAAATACCACATCTTTCTGGATACATTAACAAACTTCGACATGCTGATGCGCTTAGTGACCTAGACCCAAGCCAGTCGAAAAACGCAACGAACCGGGGTGAGGGTTCAGGACTAAACAGAGAGGCAGGACATACAGAAGATGCCATGGGTGAAGAAGGTGACATGACAGGCATGACGATGGAAGAAGACGAGTATGACGTTTTGTTGGAAATCTTCGAATCTGCAGATTGGTTTGATGACGATGACCCTCAACTTCGCGATGATGAGGAGGTCCTGAAGAAATTCAATCTTGAAGGTTACTTATTCACGCTAATGTCTCAGCATGTCAACAAAAGTGCGTCGTGCGCCCGTGATGTCACGAAATTCATCAACAAGCGAGCCAAGCATCTACCCAATGTGACTGATGGTGAGGAAGACTTCAAGGAACTCTGGAACGAGTTCAGAAGTTTGAACCGCCAACTGAATGCTTCTCGACACCGAAACTCCACCGGTGGTCCATTCGGTGGACTTCGCGAAAGTTCTGGTCAAATAGAAACTCAAACAGGAAACCCTCTGCAAGGGGCTGGAGACGTCATGACCCGAATCCGTAACATCACTGGACGTCTTGCTAAGGGCAGGTGGAGAGGAGACGGTGGTATCGAGGGTAGCTTCTACGTGGTCCTCATGAAGATGGCTCACACGATAGACAGCTGGGGAAGGGCGGGATTCTTGTCCAATGGAACATACTTCGACGCGAAGTGCGCACCGGGCCAGTCAGCTAGAGAGGGCGCCACCACAGCCTGCCACATATGTCCTACGGATGCTGCCACCAGGAATCTTCGGATGCTTCTCTCGGAACTTGACGAAACCATCGGAGAAGTGTACGATGGCATCAAAGACGGAATTGACAAGATGGCTGAAGGCCCAGCCAAGGATCAATTGACAGGTAAGGCCTAACAATTTTCAAAACCCACTTACCACGCCCAACCAGCTCTAAAAGAATTGATAACAGAAATATTAAGGCAGCAACATTGTTTGATCAGTCTCTTATTGGTTAGGTGGTTGTCTCGTCGGTGTGACTGGAGTGAAAATACATTTTCTTTGTGTTTGTAAACAATGGCATGTTTATTTTCCTAACAGCCAAAGAAAGAAATAGCAAAGCAGATATATCATGAATATACACTGGTTTAATGAGTCAAAGTAATTTATGGTTCTCATCTTTGAAAACGTACTTCTAAACCCTGTTAAAATCACCAAACAAGACAATGAATAATTAACCAACCAAATTACTGACCAACTAAGATTCGAAATATTATTAATAGATAAGTAAAATTAAACTATCAGAGATTTCATGCGTCAAAATTAATTTAAACACCAATATTTTCTTTTTGACATTTGTATTCAAAGTCATAAATTGCAATTTTAACGCACACAAATGTTTTCAGCTAGCACTAAAAAAACCTTTTTCATTTTTTGACTTCACATTATTAATTGCTCAGTCTGTTCCAAAATATTTTACATTTTGTCTAATTTTATGATCGGTTGATTTTTCTCTTCATTTATTATTTTATGTTTGCAAATAGTAGTTGTTAACACGTGCACACGTTACACTGAAGGGAAAAAGGGGGAAATAGAGAGAGAGAGAGAGAGAGAGAGAGAGAAAGGATGATAAGAGGGAGAAAGAAAGAGAGATTGGAGGAACCGTGGTATAGTGGCTCATTTACTTGATTTCCAATTCCTTCGAGATTACGGTTCGAATTTCAGCCCGGCATTAACGTCCTGTTGGCAAGTCATTAATTCACTCTTGCCACTCCCCATCCATGTGTTAATGGGTACGTGGAAATAGCTTGTGCAAGCAGAACAGCATTGGGATTTCCCTGGGTAAACCCAAAATGTAATCGTTCCCATGCATATGGAATCTCATTTCATTCTAGTTCAATCGTCTGTTGTCTGGTGCTCTTTAATGTTTACATATATTTAGTTTTATTTTATCACTCATCGTTCATCATATTGATTTCGTAATTTCTTCCCTTTTTATGTCGAAGACAACATGATTATAAGAAAGAGAACACGAGAGTGGGATCGAAATGGCGACCCAAGTATTACAACTACCATTATTCCCTAATTGCACAAGGAACAATGTCATTTTCTCACCAGAGTTGGTTAATTGTAATGCATTATGCATTGTTAACATTTCATGATAAATCTTCTTCTCTTATTTTGAAAGGGATCGTTTAACAATGCTAAATCTGAGATACACGGCCTTACATGTTATCAGTGTCTGTGGTATGGTGTAATATTGAAGCCCTACAAAAATTGCGCTTCAAAATGATCAAGAAGTGCCTCAAAAAAGTAAAAAATCTTTGAGTGACCAGTTTTACCATACTCGTTTTCCCCAATAGACTGTAGTGTTATGAAAGAAGTGCCTCAAAAAAGTAAAAATTCTTTGAGGGACCGGTTTTACCATACTCGATTTCCCCAATAGACTGTAGTGTTTTGAAAACCGTCAGGCGAACGGTTTTCAAAATTTGTAATTCCAATCATAAATATCTTGATAATCAGACAGGCGATCGGCTTGTAAAAGTCATGGGGTTCCTGACTGACCTAAAGGTTTATAATTATCATTGCATCATGAGCTAAATCCAGAATTTTGTTTCAGAATCTGAGACAAAGTTACCGGATCCCTTTAACGGGGTGGGGACGTTTACTGATGATTACCTTGTTTCTTTTACGATATTATATTAATGTTACCATCTTGTTTTTTCTTGTCATATTCCTCATTTGTTCTCATTAACACGTTCACTAACGAATCGGGCATCTTTTCAAGTTTTCTTGATTCATGTTTTGTCATTAATTTGAATTTAATATCCGTCTCATTTCGTATTCCCATCGTTACACCCGCTGGTCACTTTTAAACATTGAAGAACAACATGACGATAAGAAAGTAAGCGGGTAAAAGAAGAAAGGTGGAAGGAAATAATGTGTAGCTCTTTTTTTTTTTTTTTTTTTTTTTTTTTACTTCAGAACATACTGCTGCAGTGCAAACCGGTGGTACATTTTTCCAAGCCATTAAATTGTTAATTTTGTTAAGGCTTCTTGACTATTCACTCCATCTACATAAATATTTCACTATGTTATAGCAGTTTCTTACCTAAACCCCTTAACCTGCAATCATAAAAAATAACAATCTGGTGTTAACATCAGATGTAAACTTCGTATGGTGAAAGACCAGGCTATTAAATCTTACTAATATTGATATCAATATCAATTACAATCAATAATGGTAACCACGGATTTTTCGGATAGTGCATAAACGAACAACTGAAAAACCATTCTTCTAAAGTGACCACTGTAGTCAAGCACCATTTGCAGTCAGGTTCGACTACACATATATCTTTCTCAGTTCGTTCGTTCGTGTCTCCTGAGATCAAGATAGTTATGTAAAGTTCCTTAATTAAAGACATCTTTCTCAGTTGAAAGATACAAATACAGATTTAGTCACTATGAAGAGATGAAAGGGTTGACTATAGATCCTATCAAAAGGCCAATCTAACCAAAACGGGCTAAAAACAAAAATGAAAAAAGGACATGTACAATTATTTTTGACGGAGATTCCGAATATGACAACGATTTTTCTCAGAAATCCAGTTTCGGAGCTGTATTGTGCAACAGCATATGACGTCACTGCATGATACTTCTATGTGAAAAAAAGGTGATTTAGGCATTAAAATGTCTTTAAAAAGGCAAACTATGATATTAATTGAAAACAAAGCCATGTATCCGAAAGCAAATATGTACTTGATAATCCCAGTACGTTTCATTCATGAATTGAAATAAGAGTGTACGATCCTTAGTTGTAGGACAAATCGGACATGTCCGCAATGACCGTCAAATGCGTCATTAAGCCACGTGACCGTATTATGTTTTTTGTAGCCCAGCAAGCATGAGATCTGTGAAAAATGGATGGTCATTATCATGTTTTGGTCAATTTAGAGATTTTTTGAAAAATTAGAGGCTAGAAAATTAATATGTAGAGGTGCATTCATCTTCTGAAAGGCTATGTTAGTTGATTTAGAGTGGCCCTTTAGGTCCTTACTTAGATCAAGGAGTTTTAAGAGCTGGAGACCTAACTGGCAACTAACTATTCCAAGCAACTGCCGTTTTCTAATGTTATACAATATAATCTACATGTGTGCTGTTACCTTTGAAGTCCGAGGTTGGAAGTCGCGAATATCATTGGAAAGCTTGAGTATTTGGATCTTAAACCAAGCGTCATCGTCATTTTGATGATCACTTCGCTGCATGCAGTTAAACCTATTATGTAGACCACTCAAGGATGACATGAAAACTGGTCTTTATAGGCAATTAACCTTTAGGTATAGGTTCCGTTTCTACGGGAACTGGTTGTCAAGGGAAACGGAAAATGTGGTCTTTATATACAGGTGGTCACTAAAGCGTGTTTCACTGTAATGTAAATTCATAGTCGGAAGGCACTCCTGAAGAAACACTGTTCGCACTATCAGAAACGTTGTTAACACCTGGAAACTCCATTCATTTCACTTTAATCGATAGATGCATGTATGGTACGTATCCTAATTTTCTTCACAGGCCTCGTTTTGAGATCTAATTTTGCGCACATGAACTCCACACCCATCCTCCACTTTGCCCAAATAACACCGTTTGTGTGTTTGTTTTGCCTGACTGCTCATGAAGCATGTGTATGCTTGTATGGAAGCAACCAGGGGAAGACGGATTTAAGTCCTCTCCGAGGAACTTAATCTGAGCACATTAAAACTACGCGATTTCATCAACCAAAGAGTAGCACTCTATACAACTTTGTTCTCACAAGTACGTACATGCATGCGGCAGTGTAAGCATCTCTTTTGTTCCGGGATATTTCTTGTTAAATGAGATTCACCAGGACATTAATTTTATGCACATGCATATGAACTCTTGCATTGTATCTACAGCTGTAATCTGAAAGTTTACCAACAGAGTGCGAATTTTGATGATGTTGAGTATTATTTTGCACATTTTGTTTTTAAGCATAATTTATATTCATATCTTGATCTCTACGTTTATTGGCACAGGTAATAACTAGATCATGACTAAGCTCTCTCATTGCCTTCAAATTTCACTGACTTTTGTCGTAAACTGTCTGATGATTAAGATTGTTGTAAGCAATCACTGAATTGTTCAATTATCAGAATTCTTTTCTTTTCTTTTTCGGTCATGTTTTATACGTACTCATTTATTTTCTCGATGTTCACTTCTTGACGTGTCTTCACCTTTTTTTGCTTATAAAGAGTTCACCTTCAATTTACTTCAAATGGAAAAATCCGTGATTTTACCCGCCATCCTTGACAGATGAACACTTTTTATAGAATTCCTATTTGCACATTAAGAGTCACTGGCACCTAACTTACCTTTGACACACATGTATATGCTCCACAGTTAAGAATCTACATTTTTGTAATGAAACATGTTGATGAAGTCGTTGAGAGGTCAAATGTATTGGAACATTAACCCTTTTTACAGGGAGCCTTCACAAACCATCAAGACTGCTCCATGCGTACGGGAAAGATTGCTTTACCCTCACCTTCAGGAATAGGGACTGGCAACTCTCCCGGGATGGGAACATAGATCAGGAGGAGGAGGAAGGGGATGACGAGGATAGAGGCGAGGGCGACGAAGATGACCAAGAAGAGAAGTGGGGTCAAAAGAAGCCTTTGAAAGTTGACTTTCGTGCTCGCGAAATACTAAACAACCAGACTAGCAAAATCCGTACGTTCTCTAACAGCAGTACGATTGCCGGGATTGTTCGGATGGTTGTCAGGCGTTCGGCAGTTCGGATGCTGAAGATCCTCACGTTCGAAAGAGTCTTCGGAATGCTTGATAACTCCCATCGATTCATATGTGTAAATGCTCTGCCTCTGATGAAGGCAT